GTCGGACTCTGTGGCGCGCTACTACGGGCTGCAGCGCGGCCAGGTGGTGCGCATAGTGCGCTCCAGCGAGACAGCGGGGCGGTACGTCACCTACCGCTGGTGCGTGTGAGGACCAAGACCAACCACTGGCCCCCGTGCGCATATGTGTTTTCGTGCGAACCGGTGTGTGCACACGCGCGGCTCTCCTCAATATCTGCGGCCGCAGGTGTCCGGCCCCGGCAGGGGCGGCGCATTGTCCCTGTGAATATGTTTCGTAGTCGACCCCGGTTTTGTAACCCTTTCTGTGCCAGCACTATGAGATCATATGAATGTGGGTGGTGTTGACCATGGGCGCGGCTTTCAAAGGGGGGTGCTGCAGCACCGGTTCGCCGTCCAACAACCGGCTGTTGACGACCGGGTTGCAGGCCGGGGTTACAGCCCAGGGTCGAAAAAGCGTACAGCCCAGGGCCAAGCAGACGTTACTCGGTCGCGGCGGCATCAGAACACCGCCACGTTGGCCGTGGCAGTGCTGTAGGACCGCGCCAGCGGCGGCGGCGCCGCCGCCGCCCCGCCCGCGCCCCCGGCCGCCGCGGCCCTGATCTTGGCCTCCAGCACCGCCGCCGCGCCCCGCAGCGCCGCGCGCTGCGCGAGGCCGCCCGCCGCGGCCGCTGCGATGGCGCGCTGCTGCTCGCGCAGGCGGCGCAGCTCGGCCTCGGCCTGGGACGCCTGGCGCTCCGCCCTGTGTGTGCGCGCGCGTGCGTGCGTTGGCACGGGTGTTGATGCACATGCGGGGTGTTGAGGGATGCATCCGTCCGCTTTGCTGCGGTGCTGTTGGCTTCAACAAGAGCGCCTTTGTCGTTGCATTGTCATTGAGGTTGCGCATCAGTGAACAACCGGGCCCGCCTGTGCGGAGGCAAACGGACGAAATTCCTGCCCGCACGACAATCGGGAAGTCGCAGACGGCCCCAAGCGCGGCGGTACGAGCGAATGAGCGCATGTGCACGTGCGCGTGTGCGCGCACCTCTCCCGCAGCGCCTCCGCGCCCCCCGGCTCTGCGGCCACACGGGCCAGGCCGTCCTGCAGCGCCACCAGGGCCGAGTCGGCGGCGGCGGCCGCGGCCTGCGCCGCATCCACCTCCTTTTGTAGCGAGGCCACCTTTGCGGTTTTGATTGGAGCGGCACGGGGGGGCATTGGAGTGAGGACGGGGTGCGATGAGGTGGGCGAATGCGTGCGGCTGCCCCGCAGGGCAGGCGCAAGAGTTGGCGCCTGCGCACTGCGGCAAGCGTGCAAGGCAGGCGGAGCTGCAATTCGGTTGGCAGGTCTGTCATCGAGGGCGGCGAGTTTGTTGTGGAACCTGACGCGGCCAACGCCGTCACCAGCCACTCATGCAGCACGCCTGGGGCGCAGGGTCAATGCAGGAGGGGGGGTGTTGTCGGGTCCACAGGCGTGCAGGGCCCCTCAGATGATGTCATCCCCTCATCACCTCGGAATCCAGGTCAGCGCAGCGCGCCTCCAGCGGCCCCACTGCCGCGTCGCGCGCCTCGCGCGCCGCTGACAGGCGCGCCTCGACGTCCTGGGCCCAGGGGGCGCACACACGACGAGGGAGCCGGTGAGGGTGGGAGGGAATGTGAGGTGGCGTACCATGGAACCACCCCCCAACACATGCCGCATCCCAGGGGAGCGGGGGCCGTTGAGCGCCGCGTCCCGCAGCAAAAGGCCCGCTACCTGCTTCTGTCCCAACCACGCACGCAGCTCCTGTCCCCGGCCTTCGCCTCCCAGGAGCTGCTGCCCTCACAAACGCACCCTGTGCCCCACGGCAGAAACACACATGGCCTGCCGCCAGCGCCGGCTCGCGCGGCCCGACCGCCCCACTTGCCCCTCCCCACACATATATACCCCACACTCTGGTTCCCAAGTCCCCCATGTTGGCCAGAGGGGCCCCACCTGGAACCGCTCCCTGGCTGTGCGCAGCTGCTGCACTTTTGGGGCCAGCTCAGCCTTCTTTGACGCGATGGCCGCCCGCAGAGAATCCAGGTCTCCCGGGACCCCCTGACCCGCCGCCGCCGCCGCCGCCGTCGCCGTTGCCGCCGGGGTCGCGCTCAAGGGGCCGTCCCGGCTGCCGCGGAGCGCGGAGGGCCCGTGGTGCTGGTTCGCGTCGGCTGGCGGCTGCGTGGGCGGATGGGCGGGTGGGGTGACAGGGCTGGAGCTTCCTAGACTAGTGCGATCTGCGCTGCAGCCGCCACAGCAATGCGATGCGCACACGGCCATCAGGTGTCTGCGCGCCTTCCCCAGGACCAAGTGTGTGCGCCCGACCCCTCCCCCCCGGGTGCGCCGCTTGGGGCGCAGCTGCTGCGCCATCATTGAGGCTCACCCCGCCGGCCTGCGCCTCCAGAACTGCCCTGGTCCGCCCCGCGACGGCCACCTCCGCCTCCAGTGCCGCCAGCTCCTGCTCGGCCGGGGTGTGTGTGTGTGTGGGAGGCGTGCGGTGGGATTGCATATGCAGATGTGTGCCGGCTAGTCAGCGTAGGAAGCCGCCGCGCGTTGTGAAGATGATGGCAGCATCAGCGGTGCCGTGCTGCGCAAACAAACCGGCAAGCCTTCATCCCATCCGCACCGTCCCCCCCATCCCCGCCCAGACACACAAACACACACAAAACGCGTGCGCGCCCGCCCGCCCGTTCGCCCACACGCACGCACGCACGCACGCCCGCACGCACGCACGCACATATGCGCGCACAAGACCGTCCCCCACCTTTTTCATGGCCTTGAAGCGCCCCAGCTTCCCCTTGATCGCCTCATACTTAGCCTGCCACTCGCCGTCGCTGACCGCGCCCCCACCGCAGCCCCCGCCGCCTGCCCCCGCGCCGCCGCCCCCCTGGTGGTGCCCAAGGGCCGCCAGCAGCGCCTCGCGCGACCGCGAGAGCCGCGCCACCCTGGCCTCCATCTCGCCGCGCTTCTTCGCGGACAGCGCCGCCATCTGCTGCGCCTGGCGCACCTGAGGGAGCGAAGGTGTTTGAAGGGCGGCAGGGGCCCGCGCGCACACGCCTGCAGGTCAGGCCGGGGCGGCGGCTCGGGCAGCGTCGAGCCGCGCGCGGTCTATCCTCTGCGGCACGGTCGCAGCCCTGGATGCTCGCACTACTGTGGCGGACCTCGCCCGACCGCGGACGACCCGGCCAACGTTTTCGACGGAGGGCAAGCGCAGCTTTCATCTTTGAGGGGGCGCGCCGGCGCACACCTGCAGGAAGGCGCGGTCCGCCTGCCGCGCCCGCTCCGCCGCCGCCAGCCGCGCGGTCGCCTCCGCGACGCTGCGCTGCAGCGCGGCGGCCTGCGCCGCCAGCCGCTGCAGGCCTGCCTCGCCGCCCACCTGCAGCGGTGGTCGTGCGATGCGCGCTGTGAGCAGGCGCAGAGGAGCGCGGTGAGTAGGGCGACAGTTCACACCGTCTTTGAAAGGGCCAGCCGTTCCACCCATTGCTGAAGCCGGCAGGCCCCGCGCCTCAACTACACTTGCTGCCCGCCGCGCACCCGTGGTCCCGCCGGCTCGTTGAGGGCTGCGCGTGCTCCACCGCGTGGCTTGGCCATCAAACGTTGTGCCCATGCGCCGCGCCGCGGCCCTCCCCTAAACACCCTGCATCGTGCCCGCCCTTCAGCCACGCCCAGGTCCGCTCGCCGCATCTGCACCCCAAAACACCTCCCCCCCCTTCATCACCTCAACCGACAGAGCCTCCTGCAGCGCCGCCAGCCGCCGCTGCCGCGCCTCAATCTCGCGCGGCTGCTGCTCGTCGACCTGCAGCCACGATCCAAACACAGTGGTATCGACTGAGCAGGCAGCGCAGAAGGCAGCACTCTCGCTTCTGGAGCCAGTTACGGATTGCCTCCTGGGCGCTCCACGACATGCTGCAAGTTGTTCCTGGGTCTGCCCACTGGGTCCGCTCGCGGCCCCTATCAATATCTCCTCGCCCCCGCCCAAAAACCCCTGAGCCACCAGGCC